GTAAGACTGGAGTTTATCTACCGACTTCAGCATCCACAGAGTGTAAACCACTTGTCTAAACTATTTTGAACAAGGTCTCTTTCATGCTAGTTGGGCAAGCTTCTAAGGCATTTGTGCAAAGTGATGATGCGAGAGCAACCTGATTCAACACTGAGAAATTCATAAATAACATCCAGCAGTAATTAAAGTGAAAAACTACGACTAAGAAAAGCAATCAGCCTACAGTGTCAGTTGAGCTACTATACTCTGCAGTGTTAAAACTAGAATATGTTTACTGGTGCCTTCAACTCAGGAGGTATCACTGTGAATTTTAAATATACCAAGGATTCATTCTGCTTTTTACATAGATGGAATTGGATTAACAGTGATTAAAAATCCATAAATATATAAGTAGGGAAACAGTAAGAGTGGAAGAAAAACAGTGCCAGAAATTACCATCTGGAAACATAGTATACATGTAGTCACTGTTTTTGTATTAAAATGAAGAATTAATTTCAAAGTCCAAAATGATTTTAAGATAACTTAGCGCTCTCTGTAAGGCCCTTCTCAGGAGTCAAGTGCATGATATTCAAGATGGGGATGTTTATAAAGGACTTCAGTTTGAAGAACTGGAATAGCCAACTGTTGTCTTTACCATCTCAATGAGAAAATCTGCACTATTTTCGGTAAGTACACATTAAAGTCACAAAAAAACCCCTATAAATTCTTTGCCTGGATTTCTCTTTTGCTTAGGGGTAAACGACAGGTAACATTCACACAAGCTTAGTCATTTGGTTTTTATGTATGCAAAACTCAACATAGTAGAATTTAGATTGCTAGTGGGATAGTGAATAATGGGTAGGGCTTCAAAGTAGCATTATGAGGCTTTTTAACTTGTTTCTCAAGCTGTCCTCTGAGCTACTCACACAGCCAGGATTTACCAAGGGGAACACTTGGCCCTGTATTGTATAAAGCTTGGTACAGCACAGCCTCAGATTCGGTTCAAAGATGCATTTTGTTTTAGAAAAAGGAGAGGAAAAAACCTGGACAAGAACTTAAATCTGTTCCTGTCAGGGTACAGCCTATACTTTTCTGGTCTTCAAAGAGAAAGTGAGAGTAGTTGTGGATACTACTTCATGCTGCAGGCAGGAAAAAGTGGTCCAAAGGTCCAAAGTGGCCCAAAGCTGTTTGAGACTTTAAAGGAGCCACTGGGTGATTTTTGGAATTCACCCCGTGCTTACAGAAATGTCTGTGGTTTGGCTTTTGCTATCAGCCAGGTGTTGAGAGAACTCAGATTTACTTACGTTTACACCTTGCTAAGACAGAATAATGAACTGTGTTGTGAATTAGTTGATAATGAAGACAGGAGTAACTTGTGAAATTTGGTTCCAGAATGGGGCCTGGATAAAAATGCTCTGATTTAGATGTGCTTGTCATTTGGACCAACATCTCACATTCAGTTTTTGTCTTTTTGTGACTTTAGTTTTAGGTACCAACCTGTAAACATCACAATATGTAGTTTTCTTTCTTAGAAAGTTTGCTGTATGCCTCAGTACTAGATACAAGATCTTTAGCAGGACTTCACGTGAGGAACAGTTAAACAAAAACTTCTATGAATAAGGCACTAGTAAATGTTTGCAGCAAACAACAATTACAGTCTATATTCTTTAAGAATAAAGCCGTTCTGTTTAGGAAAATTGCCTTTACTATGACAGAGTTACCAATGCCAGTTAGAAGGGGGTTAGAGAAAGTGCATCTTTTGGATTATGCCTGTGAGGTCTGTAAGAAACCACTGAAAGCAGATCCCTGTTAAGTGTGGAAATAGCCTGTACAATGGTGATACTCAGGAGAGCTCAAGCAAGAGGAAACTGGTCTAGATTCTGACTCCTGCTAAACCAATGTGAAATTGCTTTAATGGATTTGCTCCACATTTATTTACATTGGTAGAAGGATGTGAGGCCAGAATCGAGGCTGCTGTGGCAAAACTAGTTAAACAGTAACAGAGCTAACCCGACCCAAATAAAGTATCTGGTTTTGGGCTTTTTGTTTGGTTGGTTGTTTGTTTTTTTTTAAATTTCCTACTTGGTGAAGTCCAAGGATGCACTTTGTCTTTTGGCTAACATAACAGACCAAAGCCTTCTGTACTACTTTGGAGCTGCTGCCATTCTAAACAGTTATTAAAATATACCAAATGAAAATTGAGTCTTCCAGTCCGTTTGTAGGATGGCTGACTGCTACTTTACATTAAAAATCATTCAGAAAACCCCAAACTCTTCCATTCATAAAACCAGAACATACTACTACATTTTAAATGTAATTTTGTGTATGAGCTCTTTTGGGAGGGGGTCAATGAAACAAATTCTGGTGCTTATGGAGCCAATATGAATGCATTTGTAAACTAACAGGTCTGGGTAATGATCATGACTGTATTTCCCTAGGTCCTGTCCAATAAAACTACAACATCTGAATCATTCATTTGGTACACTAAATGAAAGGTCTTGGTAACTCCATGGCCTAATTTCATCATGAAATCCTGCTTTATAAAATGACAATTTAGCTTTATCATCCAACAAACTTCTGTTCCACTCAGATCCTTCATTATTTGTACAAGATGTAATTTAAAAAATGTAACACATTTCTAGTATCTATAATGCAAGTGGGAAAAGTGATATTGATTCATTCTTGCATATTATTGCCATCACGTGCTACAATTAACAACTCTGGACAGTTGTGATTTTTTTTTTGTTTGCTTGTTTGCTTTTTCTGTTTTATGTAAGGACTTGGTATTAGTTTATCTCAAGCTTTAGGATCACCCAGTCATGGGGACTTCGGAAGCTTTACCCATGTCTCAACTAGGTTTTTGTTTGATTGGACTCAATGATCTTAAAGGTCTTTTCCATTCTAAGCAAATGTGATTCTGGTTTGTTTGTTTGCTTGTTGTGGTGCTTATTTGTTTTGGTTTGGTTTTTTTAGCTCTGATTTATAAGACTAAATTAATAGGTAGTATAACTTGGCTGAAATTTTCACCAGAAATTAGTGAGGACTAATACTTATTTCTTACAAAAAAACAACTCCAAAAAGTAAATTAAGTCCTAGGAATCTCTCTCCCATTCTTGCTATATGCATTCTAAATTATATAGAGAAGGAAGAAAATGGAGAAATTTCTCTTCACAAAGATCTTTCCTCCATAACAACTCAGGAAACTTTTTTCTTTTTAGATATTTGTTTCTTACATGAGTGTCCAAATATATGCTTTTCTATGTGTGTGTGGAGGCTAATAAACTGCATGTTTTTATATGAATATTAGAAAATGTTATTGAGCATTAGAGCTGTGCAGAATACTTTCTGTAAAAGTCAATAACTTGAATTTTTTTTTGTTATTTTCAATAAAATGACATAAATCTTGGCAATTGCAAAATAAACATTCTTTGTCAAAAGTGTGCCTTTTGCTGTGTCTCTAACCTGCAATTTGAAATTATGCACATAGTACCTTATTAAAATTTCCTAATGTGCTTAGTTTAAAATAAATTTGAACTTTTTTTGTTTTAACTTTATGAAACCTGTGTTTTGAAAGTCAAGTGGGTTTCTAACTTAAGATTAAAATAGTATATTGGGACATAGTTGTTTTTTTGCCTTCCTTTGCTTTTTTGCCCACTGCTTTCAAAGTGTGCCTTCAGTAATACACAGCCAGGTAAGAAAAGTGAGTATTTAACAAAATGCAGAACACAGTTCGCTTTCCTGGCCGTAGAGAAGTACTAATGGAATATTTTTATTACAGCTCTGACTGGAGGAAAATCTGTTGTCAAACTTTAATGTGTATTTTTTTCTAAAGAGTAAATTCACACTTTTACAGAACAGTTGCTTCTTGGTGCAACTGAGTTGTGTTTGTAGAGGCACATTCTTAACGCAATTGAAACCGTGGCCTAAATGAAGGCATCACATTTCTGTACATGCTCATGTATTAGCCTATATGAATGACATTTTAACAAAACATGCCATTTCACAAGTTAGGAAACAAAGAGCTTCCAGGTATAAAATCAAACAAAATGACTACATCATTTAACAACAATTATTTCATGATTTTGCATAAACCTTGACCTTCCTGAAAAGCAGTACTTGAATTTATATATGCATTGGTTTGATAATAATTCATGATGCAACTTCTTGACTTGCACTTGATAAATATTTCACTTTGGGAAGAAATTTTCTTGACATTTAAAAAAAGAAAATCAGTCCTAGATCTTTGCTATTAATCTAGAGATTTTCATTGTTACATGAAATGTGTAATTGGAAATAACTATTATGTTTAAAGGAATCCACATTACTTTGATTTAAAAAAAATTCCATTTATCTGAGAGGCTTTAGGGATTAGGATGAATTTGAAGAGGCCAACCCCAATCCCTCAAAACCTTCTCATGCTTTTAGGAGATGAATGAATTTACCAGTCATGTAACTCTAATGTATTTTAAGACTAGTTAAAAGACAAGGAAGAGTGATAATCAAACTAAATGCCCCAAACAGGGCAGTATTTACATGACTGGGTATTTATTTCAAGGGAATGATTTACAGGGGTTAAAGTTTGCTTACTCATTTATGTTTTTCTAATACAGTAAACCTACCATCTATTTGTATGTCAAGATAACTGATTTTAGAATGCTGTTTCATAGCTTGAACCTTGCTTTTGCCTCAGGGTTCATTCTAGCCAGGATGGCAATTAGGGAAAGTCCTAAAACTGAAACAGAAAAATGGACAAATGCTGTTAAATTCAAATGCGGTACAATAACATGGAAGCAAAAATGACATTCAGTGTCAGAAGTAACAAATTTGAAAGTCTTAAATAATTCAATATAGAGAATATAGTTTAGACAGTTTGTATATAAGTGTGCTTTTTCCTAAAAACAGCCCCCCAACCAAACCTTTTTTTTTTGCTTTTTCATTGTTTTTTTTGGTCTGTAAATATGAAAGAGGGCTACACTCCAATGTAATTCTTCGTTGCCATACTAAGCAGTAAAATAGTCCTTCTAATTCATATTGCTCATGGCAGTCTTATTTGATGTTGCTTTATTAAGTTTATGATTAAAGCAGTTTGGGATTTTTGTTGGTTGTAAACTTTTGGCATAATGTGAATACCAGTCCCTTTCAAAAACAGCCTTGAGTTGCTTAATGATGCTTGTGCTGTTCCCCGCGTCTGCTTGGTTGATAACAAGGCCAGCTCCAGCATTCTGCGTAAAAGCATTTCCTACCCAATCAAAATTACCTACAAGGAAAGAAATACACAGTGAGTTTCTAATATCAAAAATAAAAGAAGAAAAAAAAAAAAGCCATTTCCCTAAAGGCAATCAAGCATGACACAATGCCATTTTCTCCAGTGCCTACCTGGGCAGAGATAGAAATAAGTTTTGTGTACTAGCAGTAAAGAAAAAAACTCTCCTACATACCGGTGTGTAGTGCAGATCATTTCTGGAAGTTTAGCAGCTCTAATCCTTCATAAGTGAAAACAGGTTCTTTTATTTATTCAAATATAACTTGCTCTTCCTTTTGTGTATATCATACTATTACTTCATTTAGTTTTTCACAGGCCTTTTCAATGCCAAGAAAGAAAATACTTTTTTTGCTTTATAAACAACTTAAAGTAGAGAGGATGGCAAGCACTTCGTCCATAATGCTGAGCCAAACCACTAGATCTTTTATGGTTTACCCATTCATAGATACTATTTCAGGAAAGAACAACAGGTTTTACTGTTTTATGCTAGTTATTACCTCCTTTGTTGAAATCTAAAATAATGAATGAGCATTTCAAATCTTGATGATTGCAAGGCAAAGAGAATAATGCCATTAACGGAAAACAATTAAGCCTGGTGTTTCAGTTATTTCTTTTTATTTCACTACCTTTATAGCATATGCAGTATTTTGGAGAAAAATGCTGTTACTAGAGGTCATATTTTAAAACAATACTTGAACATACATAAAACATAGCGGTATCCGAGAAACTTAAACCCGTTCTTTCAGTGTCACTTCAGCTATTTCAGCAGGAAATGTTAAGAATTCTAAAGTCATCAAGGATGGTAAATTGAAGCCTCATCATAAAGGACATTTCTTGCTATGCTTTCCACTAAAAGATCTATCAGGTCCTTAACATGCATTTCTATTACTTTCATACAGCTTTGATTATTTGTTTCTTTTATTTATATGTATCTAAGGATGTAAGGACAATAGGAAAGAAAAAAACCCAAACAACTCAGCTAAGGATCCCTGCAGTGTAATTTGATCTGGCTATTGGAAGGAATTTAGCATGGAGTAAAAAATTTATTTGGGGGAGGCCTCATAAAGCATTTGGAAGATGAGAGAGAAATAGGCTGCACTACTTGAAGTGAAAAATAAGATTTGGATAGGTTAAGAGAGCTGTGCATGTAGAGCCCATCAAGGTGAGCTTCTCAGAGCAGCTCTGGGCTGTATCTCTACACTACTTGGGATCCTGTACTCTTGCGTGTGCGGGTGCCTGTGTCAGGGTTGCAGCCTTTGCCCTCCCTCCCTGCCTGTCTCTGTGATCACTGGATTTAAGCCCTTTGCAGTTAAGTCGGGAAGCACGCAACTGAAGCTCAAGCTGCAGAATATTAGAACGTGTGTTTTTCTCTCCTGACTTTATAAAATCTCTTTAAGTGATTTTTAATTCAGTAGCTGTTTTCTGATCCTGCATCTCACCCACAGATCCAACAGCCAGATGTTTTCAAAAGGCAGTTTTTAGCCTGCACTCAGTGAGCATTTGACTGACGACAAACTTCTGCTACGTGCTGTATGGCAACTTTACTTAAATACACCTTTAACCCAAAATACCAATTAGATATGTAACTAATGTTAGGAGGGTGTCTGAAATTACAGTAAATGGAATAAGACTTCAGAAGATGAAAAACATTTGTATGGTATTTACCAGGATTATGGAAAATGGAGAACAGTCCATCTTCATTGGATTGAAGAAACAAGAGAATATGTTAATAATCGAATTTATTCCTACCTCATAAAGTGTGTTGTATTTGTGATTTAGTCTGTCCTTTAAATACTGAAAGCGGAATGTTCCTTTTGAGAAACTGATTCAAAACGAAGAGTTTTTAAATTAGAAGAGGCTCAGAGCTCAGTCTTCATTCAGGTTCCCAAAGAAATGAACTATTATTTTAGCTCAACAAGCCTATCAGCTGTAGATTCCTCATGTACAAATGTATGTTACTTCAGACTTTTGGCTACCAACTAGAATTTCTTCAGATGTGGTTACTTACCAATGTACGCAGCTCCATCAGTAACCATATATTTGTTACGATTTAGTTTGGGAAGGGAAGTGTTCTTCTGTTCTTTAAGAAAGCATGCACTCTCTTCCTCAAGGTCAAAGAATTTCTGTCATAAAATAAAATGGAGCGCAGGTTAATGAGAAACGTTCTATAATGGACAGAAAAAATATGGTCTATTCACTCCTCTTTATTGAAAATGAGTTAGTGCTACAGAACAGCTTGAGATTTTATAGCCAAGCATTAATTTTAATAAAACACTGCAGATTCTATTTCCTACTAAATTCTCATAGTCTGTGATACTCGCTATGCCTTGGCATTCAGAACTACACAAAGTATAAGGCTACTGCATACTAAAAGCAATTCAGTGCCAGGTAGTAAAGGCTAAGAAAGGAACAGGGAAAAATGCATCTTTGTGTTCTGCATGATAAGAGCCAGGAACTTTTCTTTAGCTCATTTCTTCATTCATCAAGGGACACTTGAAGTTTGCTGCAGGATCAAGATTGGCAGGCACACTAACAGCTATATTAACACCTATATATTATATATTGCATAGTTTCCATCAGGAAACTTGCTGATTTCAGAAACTTAGAAACTTCTACGGATTAAATCTGGAAAACGCATGTGTCTTACCCTAAAGGGTGAAGTGTGAGTTATTTTTTTTGTTGATTTCTTTTTCCCCCCCTTTTCTTATTTGTTTTGTAATTTTGGAGCTACATGCACTCCTTGTTCACATCAGTGCCAGACAAAAAAATGAGATTTCCAGTATAAATCCAAGTATTTGTTTCATCAAGGAAAGTAATACTGGATGGTACGCAGTGCAGTTTTATGATCCATAACTATCACAAAGTTGTTCCCTTAAACAGTCTTGGAATTTTCTATGTTATCACATGCTTACTTACCTGTACATGGTATTGTTATCTTCTACAGCTTAATATTTGTAATGAGTTCAAATACTAGCAAAATTACAAAGACAGGGCTTTTTTTTTAATTTAAAAACAAGCACAACCCTGTTTGAGCAATTGCTTTATAAAGGGCAATAAAAAAAAAATCATTCTATGTAAAACTGTAGTATCTGTCCTTTAAATTAGATTTATACTGTATGTTCACATCTAACTAAGCTGCACTGAGAAATCATACATTTAACCACAGATTTTTAACATCACTAGCAATTACAGCACTAGACTTTAAAAATAGAACAAACCATTTTAGCAGCTGTAAAGTTTACTACGTATGAGGGGTTAGTTGTTAGACATCAAGACTGCAACTGTATGCCTGAGGAACTGCTCTACAAACATGCACCCACCACAGAAGGTATGTACTTAACAAGCCAGAGATGGTTCTGAACCTTTATGAAAGGGTCTTGAATTTTTTGATAAAGCCAGAAGCAAATGGTCGTGTTTTTCCTCACACCACAAAAATGGGAACAGAAAACAGCCATAGCATCACAGAATTGTTGAGGCTGGAAAAGACCTCTGAGATAATCAAGTCCAGCCTGTGACCCAACACCATCACTTCGGCCAGACCACGGCACTAAGTGCCACATCCAGCCTCTCCTTAAACACCTCCAGGGATGGTGACTCCACCACTTCCCTGGGCAGTGCATCCCAGTGCCTGAGCACCCTTCTCTGTGAGGAAGTGTTTCCTGATATCTAACCTAAATGTTCCCTGATAGGGTGCCCATCTCACAGTAACTCTTCCCATGGCTGTGGAAGATACTGGGACTAACGCCAATATTGTAGGGAATGGTCTAAAACCAGCAAAGGGGTAAGGCACTCAATGCTAAGGAGACAAAACACAACACGCTGCCTTCTTGCCAGTGCAATGAGATTTAGCAAAAATGTTACATACCTTGACATAAAAACAGTCAAGCATAATAATCATATAAGCTCAGCGTTGACAATGTGCTGAACTGAAAAATCTTATGTTAGCGAGCAGTTTGTACAATAACTTTGCAAGGGAAAATTTCAGATTCGGGCAGAAAAAGATAGAAGGCTTGAAAAATGTAATGTGTTCTCCTCACAACAGCAGGGAAACCATTAACTCCTTGACAGTACAGTAGGGAAACCCATCTGCCCTCAAAACAGAATACATGCATATGTAGCTCAGCTGAGCAAATGAACCAGCCCTGGCATTAAGCAGCACAGCCAAACGCTCTCCAATGCATGCCTTCAGCAGAAGCACCACGTTAATAATACACTACCTTCTGCTAACATTTCATTAATCTTTTCTATCCTTATTTTAGGAGTTTAGAGCTTCAAAATTAAATTAGAGCTTCAAAATTAAATTAGTGCTTAGAAGCAAACACTTTGTTTACTCGTAGGGCAGTTCTGTTTCTCTGAGAACTCTTTTTCTTTTCCCTTCCTCTTAGCAGGAACACACTTGCACAGCTCAAAACGAGATTCATGTGAAGGCTCAAGAACAATTTGTGCTGTAGATATACCTGTCTGTTCCATGTCATTCCTTCCTGGTCTCCAGTTGGCTAAAGACACTTTGTTCTAGTTTGTACTTTCTGTGGGCCCTTCAAAACTATACATCTTTCTCTGCTCAGCGCCACACTCTGACAAGGAAAAGGTTTATTTTTCACCTTGTTAGCCTATTCCTTCTCCCCCATACACACACAGAGTTTTGTTTCATTTGATTGTGGCTAGAACTGATGAATACAAAAGAAATGCAGTTGTACAAAACCAGTGCACATCTGACATGTTTTGTGAAGCAAAGGAATGTCATGATGGAGACTGTGGTGCAGTTTCAGCAAAAATGAAATAGGTACCACTAAACTCTGAGCCTTGTGCTATTACTCGTACCAAGGCTTGTTTAAGGCAATGACTTAGCCAGTGCGTGGAACATGTGGTGCACAGCACAAATGAGGTACCTGAGATATGTTTTACCTTTACAACCTATTTAATTCTGGGACCGCCTCCTTTTTTTTTTTTTTCAAAATTGCAGATATTCTAGCTAGAGTGTCTACCTAGAATAGATGTCTGAAAGAATTTTTTCTCCTTTTAGCATCTAGTTCCTGACAAGATAAATTCTGTACTAAAAATTTTGCCTGCTGTAAATAGATGGAAATTGATATGAGTACGTAGAGAATCATAGAATCATTCAGGTGGGAAAAGACCCCTGGGATCAAGTCCAGCCATTAACTCTGCTCTACAAATCTCACTCCTAAACCATATCCCCCAACATCACATCTAAACGACCTTTAAACACAGAGACGGTGACTCCACCACCTCCCTGGGCAGCCTATTCCAACGTCTGATTACTTCTTCTGTGAAAATTGTTTCCTAATGTCCAGTTTAAACCTATCCTGCTGCAGTCTGAAGCCATTCCCTCTTGTTCTATCGCTAATTACCTGTGAGAAGAGACCAGCACCAACCTCTCTACAATGTCCTTTCAGGTAGCTGTAGAGAGTAATGAGTCCACCCTTAGCCTCCTCTTCTCCAAACTAAACAGCCCCAGCTCCTTCAATTGTTCTTTATAAGATCTATTTCCAGGCCCTTCCCCAGCTTCGTTGCCCTCCTCTGCACTTGCTCCAGCACCTCAATATCCCTCTTATATTGAGGTGCCCAAAACTTGACGCAATACTCAAGGTGAAGCCTCACCAGTGCCGAGTACAGGGCGACAATCACCTCCCTGCTTCTGCTGGCCACACTGTTTCTAATACAAGCCAGGATGCCATTGGCCTTCTTGGCCACCTGGGCACACTGCTGGCTCATATTAAGCTGTTTGTTGATTAGAACCCCCAGGTCCCTTTCTGTCAGACAACTTTCCAGCCACACTTCCCCAAGCCTGTAGCGTTGCATGGGGTTGTTGTGGCGCAGGTGCACGACCTGGCACTTGACCTTGTTGAAGCTCATACCATTAACCTTGGTCCACTGATTCCAATCTGTCCAAGTCTCTCTGCGGAGCCTCCCTACCCTCATGCAGATCAACACTCCCACCTAACTTGGTGTTGCCTGCGAACTTACTGATGATACACTCTATGTCCTTATCAAGATCATCACTAAAGATGTTAAACAGAAATGGTCCCAACACTGAGCCCTGAGGAACACCACTTGTGACAGGCTGCCAGCTGCATTTAACTCCATTGACCAACACTCTTTGGGCCCATCTGTCCAGCCAGTGCTTTATCCAGCAGATCGTATGCTCATCCAAGCCATGAGCAGCCAGTTTTTCCATGAGAATTCTGTGGGCAACAGCGTCAATGGCTTTTTGAAAATCTAGGTAAACAACATCCACAGCCTTTCCCTTGTCCAATTAGAGCATTAGCTGTCACTTACATAAAAAATAATTTTGAATATGTAAGTAGAATTTGGATGATAAATACGGAACAAGCTACAAGTTTCTCTAAATGCAAGTGGCTTAAGCAGTGTCAGACATGTATGGGCTTTTTGACTTAAAAAAGACACTTTGTGCTGCTTCTTACCTAGGAAACTTGCAGTTACATGTTATAACAAAAATCCATATTTTTAGACATGCACAAATAACAGTGTGTAAAACACAAACAGTACTTGTTTTTTACAATTGTTGTCAATTTTAAGATGTCAAAATGATTTATTAGATTATCACTTTAAGTCAAAATAATTCAGCAGATTATTTAAGACAGTTATCTGCAAAAAAAACCCAAACCAAAATAAAAAAAAAAAACACAAAAAGAAATTGACCCAAGATGACTGATTTCCAGTGTGCCTCAATTTCATAAAAATTAATTGTAGCAAATTGAAAGTAGTACTTACCATACACTGTTCTCTAAAACAAAGGTAACATAGACGGTATTTCTTATGAAAGTATTGCATGTCTAATATGGTCACATAAGAGTTGATCTAGTCTTCACAATTCTGACTTTGTAGCCTGAATTTAATGTAAAATCTTAATTATTTTTGCTTGTACTTTGTATTTGACCTGAGGGAAAGTAGATGCTTACACAGCTGAACAGTAAGGTTACATAAATCCAGACTAAACCACATTTTTGTGCTGTCACATTTACCCTTATCAGCCAGTATTAACAAGACATATGACCACGATTTACTCCCTTAGCTTTCCTGTGAAAGACCAGATACAATGTTTTACACAGGCTGTCCACCACACAGACTGTCTTTTGGCATCATTCTCCGTTTCTGTTTCTTGATTTCTAAATCTGTTCCTACTAGGAATAAATTTAGTTCATTATCTTACATTTCCTATGTTACTTAATGAAACTGAAAGGCTTTGATAATATCAGAAAACACTTCTTCTCAGCTGTGAAGTTTTCCTGATTTTGTTGTGGGATGGGAAATATCTTAGATTTTAAAGCAAGAAACCAAGATTATACTTACAACTTTCAAACTACAGGTTGGAACTTCAGTGCAAATAGCTTTCAGAGATGAAACAAAGTTAAAAGTAAGGGGATCTGTGTCTCTTGAGAAACTTATGAGAAGTCGTACTTTAATACTTCGTAAAACTAAGGCTTCTCTTATCTTCCCATCTAAATACGGCCAGTACCTGTGAAGAAAGAACACAATATATTCAGAGAAAACTAAAAAAAAAATATTTTGATTTTTATGCAGCCAAGTCTAGACACCATAGAGAAAACAAAACACATGTGAATGTCATGTTCGATCTCTTGAGGGAAAGCTGTTCTCATTTAAAGGGATTCTCACTAAACAGATCTGCGAGCACCCTTCTCTGTGTCATTCTGCCCTGCACCAAAACTGTCACTGCGGGGATAGCCAGGCTGCAGATGGTTGAGCACATCTCCCATCCGTGTAGGTGCACGGAGAGCTGCCAAAACAAAATACAGGAACCTTGTCTGCCCACACCTGGGAGAGTCACTCCTGTGGCGAGAGCAGCGGAGCTCTTGACGTGCCGGAGAAGCAGCAGAGCGAGCTGCAGCTAGAGGGTGCTGCTAACCCAGCCCAGACACAGGCACAGGCAGCATTTTCTCTCAGCTACACGAGGGAACAGGAACACGGGATACCTCCTCCCTGACTGACACACGTTTTTTCCTCTGTACTGGCATCATACAGGCTGGGGACTGGCATTTCTTCTGCCATTCCTTGCTTGTGAAAAGGAGAGCTGCTGCCATGCAGGGTGTCTGCATCCCTGAGGAGCAGATGAAGACTGCAGAATCACAGAATTGCCTAGACTGGAAAAGACCTTTAAGATCACCAAGTCCAGCCATTAACCTAACACTGACAAGTCCTCGGCTAAACCATATCCCCAAGCACTTAAATACCACCAGGAGAAGGGGACTCCACCACCGCCCTGGGCAACCCATTCCAATGCCTGATAACCCTTTCAGTAAAGAAAATCTTCCTAATGTCCCATCTAAGCTTTCCTTGACGCAATTTGAGGCCATTTCCTCATCCTGTCTCTTGTTACTTTGTAGAACAGACCGATCCTCACCTCTCTAGAGCCTCCTTTCAGGCAGCTGTAGAGAACAATAAGGTCTTCCCTGAGTCTCCTTTTCTCCAGGCTAAACAACCCCAGTTCTCCCAGCTGCTCTTCATAAGACTTGTGCTCTAGACCCTTCACCAGCTTGGTTGCACTTCTTTGGACACACTCCAGCACACCCACGTCCTTTTTTTGTAGCGAGGGGCCCAAAACTGAACATAGTGCTGGAGATGCAGCTTCACCGGTGCCGAGTACAGGGCGGGGAAAAAAGATGGGTTGTTTAAACAGGCTGCTATCTTTTTCTGACGAAGACTGCAGAAATTCTTCCAAGAATGAGATGGTGGCTTCCACGGTGTCATTCTCACAACTGCTAGTTCAGTTTTAAGTTCCTGACCTCTGGCGGGAGCAGGTCAGGACAGGGAGAATGAGATAAAGAAAATGTATGCTTGCTTTGTTCCAGCAACATCAAGGCATTTAGCCCAACGAAATCTGAGCTCTACAGGGCAGGAAAATAACTTACAAGTGAGAACTGAGAGCTGACAAGGTAGAGAAGCTGTGGCACTGTGTCAGACAAAGCTATGCTGCAGGACAGGTGGCTTCCCTGGATCGCCCTAATCCGGAAGATTTCAAAATTCTCCAGGCACAAGAACAAAGGAGGAGTATAGCAGTTAACATCAACTGCAACACTGTCACATACTAAGACCCTTTCCAACATAAACAAGAAGCATGTGGGAAGCATGTTGTGAAACAGATTCCTAGAGCACTACCCATAATTCCTCCACTATGACAGAGGCTGTACCTAGTAAATCTATGGGAAAAACCTCTCTTGTAGACTTGAAACAATTTATGCTTGATATCAGTCAAATAATAGTGGGAGTTTTTTTGAAAAATTTGAACATCTTTAGGCAAAACTGGAAAAAAGCGCATAAACACATGTTTAGTTTGGCTTGGTTCAAATAATTCACATGGATGGAATGATGAGCTTTGCAAGATGCTCAATTCATTGTGCATGTTATCAGAGGGACCACTGGATACTTGCCTTCTGAATTGGATGGTATTATTACACTGTACCTTCAGTTTTGGATCATGAGTGCTTTTTAATGGGCCATAGAAACAGAGTGTTTAAAAATAGCTTGGGTTTGTTTGTTTTTAGCAACTGTCAGTTAATCAAAAATTGATATAGTTCAAATGTAATCTATGCTGAATTTGGAATTTTGACGTATATGCATATTTAAATAAAATAACGACATCTCCCGCACTGTATATGAGAACTCACAACATGTTACTTCTCTCTTACACACACACACATGCACACACACTTATATTGAATTTCTGTATGATACTCATAAAATGCCAGTAGCTGTGTTATCAAGATAGTAAATAAAATAGTGTAAGAAACAGGATTAATGCGTAAGCAGGTTCTTGTATTCCTGGGTCCCAGTCACTTGCAGATGGTCAGACTAGACAATTTCTGATCTCCTTCGATAGGTAGATCCAAAGCTTAGGACCCAGAACTGGACATGTCTTCTTAGGTCCCAATTCTGCTCCCATTTAAGTCAATGGCAGAACTCTCACTGATTTCAATAAGAGCAGAATTGGGCCCCAAGAAATTGGTCCACAGTAGTAACTAATCTCCTGTGGGTTCACTTTCTCCAGCAGATCTTATTGGCATTAACAAGACCTGCTAGTCCTGGACATGGACACTCACCGTTTAGCATTGGTGTCAATGACGATCGGCAAGTAGTCCATGACAGCTATGTATACAAACTGTTTCGCATCATCGATAACACTGTATATAGCTTCAATATCCAGGACTCTGTCCTTTGGGCAGAAGAGTTTAGGTGAATTCTGCGAAAGGAAAAGTTCAAATATGGCATTTAAAATAAGTGACTTATTTTCTCTTCTCCTTGTTCTTCCTGAGATGGCAAATAGTATTTTTTATTTTAGTAGAGAATAGTGACTGATACCTTCAACTGTCCTGCTAGAATACCCAAAGGTACAAAGGAGAGGTATTTGCTTAATTTCCCCTTAAAAGCCTCACCATTTAGATGTAACTGTGGGGAAAATGCAGAAGACACAAACTTCAAAACATCCACTGTCATTAAAGCTCTATGTGAAGTCACATTTCAGAGGATTTTGTTCCCAAAAGTCCCAGGACTGCTTACTATTAGATGGAGTAATATCTGTGTTCTCGCCACATAAGCCTGAGCCATCACTTGTGAACAGGAATTAAGACTATTATGTCAGTCCCGTCCAAAGTTCCATGTAGAGTCACCATTTGCTCAGTCACTGCCAGACCGCTGCTTTCCTGATGCCCTATCACCTTCTCACCTTTGCTAGCTGCTTGGATTGCAGCTGACACGTGGATTAGTATGCTTTCTTTATTAAGCACAGATCCTGGGGTTTTGTGTAGTCTTTTGTTCTTTCAACACAATGCCTACCACTGTTTTTTTTAATCACTGCCTGGTGTTCTTAAGGATTTACTACAACTAAGCTCAGAAAATACTAGTAAATTAAATGAAGCAAGATTTCAAGAGCAGTATTACAGATCCATTCCTGAATAGTAAGAAAAACAACCAAAACCTCTTACATTTTATCAGCCAGTCTGGGAGACGTTTTTGTTGCTAAGCAACACTATAGCCATGATTCCTGAGTATAACAAAAAAAAATCAGTGACTGTGTTATGCTTGTTGTTTTACACAGTACAAACATGAAAAGTGAAATACGTTTTCAAAGAATGAGTTTCGACTCAAGAAAAAGTGTAAAGTGATTTTTTAAATAGAAATTATCTGAAACTTTAGGAGGCTATTGCACTGAGATTTTATTCTTACACTCTTAGTATTTTCTTGAATAGATGTTTAAAGTTTTTTAGTTTAACAGCTAAAGAAAAGAATTCTTATGCATTGTCTTTTTCAGGTGTGTTCAATATAAAGATCAGAAAGCGAAAGACATTTAGAAGGTAATTAGAAGAAAAAACTTCTGTTAAATCTCTCACTGCAACACTTGTGTTTGTGCATTCCACTTGTTATCGTGTGGCATGGCTGACCCGCCTGTGGTTCTAGAATATTTTAGAACTCTCTCCATACTAGTTGTATTGTTTTTGCTGTTCTCATCCAACACCCATTCGATACTTCTCTTCACCTACTCTCACTGGGCAACAGTACCCTGCCATGCCCCTGCACAGGGGCATTTGCTGTCCCAGACTGAAAGGGAGGGGCAGCACCACCAGCCCTGCCCACAGGCAGAGGAGTAAGTGAACTGCCTGGCTCGTGGAGACTTCTTATACATTGAAGATCAGACAGCGATGTTAACGCTTGTCCACCACACCAGTCCAGCATAACTCCAGGACTCCTTTTCAGAGGGGCATGCTGGTAAACACTGAGACTTTGACAGTAGGTGAGAAATTTGTTGAAGAGCCTGTTTCCAGGAAGAAGCAGCCCAATTGGCTGTGGCTACAAATTCAGGCAGCTCTTGGAGATAGGCTTCACTCATCTGAGATTCTGAGTACTAGTGACTGTTCTTCTGCAAAGTGCAGAAGAACAGCTTTTGTAGAGCTTGACTCCACTTGTCTTTGTCTAGGATCCCAGATTCCTTAAAGTTGGCCTTACCCAGCTTTCCTTACTGTACCATTCCAGGACTGGCTTTCAGACTCCATTTCTTGCAGATTGCTTAGAAGGGAGTAGGAGTTCATTTCACAGCTCCTTAGCTATCTGTCCGAAAGTCAGTCTCTAATTTAAGCTAGTCCTTAAGATTCTCCAGAATCAATGGAAGCGTATGTCTCTTCAGATGGTTATTAATTCCTGGTGTCTTAGGCACGTCCAGATTTTTGGTTGAAAATAGCTCTCTGTCTCTCCACTGATTGTAGGAGTGTGAAAAATCCTGGACACCTGAACGTTGCCTGGCTCCCGGCAGGTGAAGGTAAACCCTGCCCTGTACAACTACTCATCTGCAGCAACATCCAGCCCTAGTGGCTGTAGAACTTAATAGTGCTGCATGCCTTGTGTTGTTTTAGACATAACTGACTATAAAGCAATGGGGGTTTGCCCCTTGTTTTATACAGAATGGTAAATAACTTAGCAACTTCATTATATTCCTGCTTTTGAAGGGGTTGTTTTTACTCATGTAATCACCTCCAAAATAAAAGACACTCCACATCTTTCATCATCTCTTATCACTGTTTGTACTTTTTTCCAGTTTTGCTACATCGCTGTTGCGATGGAGGACTGCTCCAGCTCTTCCCATTAAATATATACACACACAGACAGTGCTTCTATGGGGATTGCTGCTGAATTTTAGAAGCTTCAAAACGTCATTTAAAAATAAAGCTAAAGTAGGTAATGCTCTACAAAGTATGAGTGTTTTCAGTGGAAAAAGGTGAAGAGGATTAATCCCTATAAATCACATTTTCTCCCTTCCCTCCCTCTCTGCAACTCATTTCAGAACTTACCGACACAAAAGCTTCTGATTTGGTCTCATTCAGCTGCAGTGTCAGTTTATTTTGAGTATCGTACACTCCATATAGTCTCTTAGACCAACTTGGAGGTATTTTATTCTTGTATCTTAATGAGCTGTACAGGGCAAATATCCTTTGTAAATCCAGGACCAGGCAGCTACAGTTGTACACAATGACACCAAGTTCTTTCATCTGTGAAATTAAAAGTTCACATCATTAGTGATATTTTGGCTGATGGATCTGTGGGAAGTATGCAGCGAGAACATTAGAGTGTTTGAGGAGTATCTTCCAGAAGCGTGCCTTTCGCTCTGTGGTAGTACTGTGGACTACACAACACTCCAAACTATACTCATTCAAAAGCAAACACATAAGGTAAATCTTCAAAGTCAAGAGGAAGCAAAAGCCATAACAGAGTATGTCAGAGATGCATGTCCTGATAGAATACAACACGCATTATGGATAGACGCAACTTAGGAGAAATACCCATTTGTCATAGGCTTAATTTCTGTTCTAGGTGTTGCCAAGGTTTACTCCTCCTGGCTAGAATGGATCTTACTTATTTATTGTTTTGTTTACAGGGAAAGCACCCATTCTGCTGGATAATGTAGGAGCACACACTGCTACCAGTGACAGTTTCTAACTTCAGAAACAATTTGTTTTCTGTGACTTCTGCAGAAGGTGACAGAAACGGACTGAAGTTATTTCTCTGCTGGAGAAGGAATATGATGTTCCAGTTTCAAATGGAAGGAGGAAAAAACTGATGTTTAATGCTATCAGTAGCTAAATTTACTGTGCTATTAAATCCAGCGTGATCCAGTACATAGTATACTGGGTTCTTAACTCCCCGATGGCTATGGTGTAGTATCTTACATAGGGTACTCCAAATTTATAGAATCATGGAATGTGTTGGGCTGGAAGGAACCTTTTTCTTCACATGCAAAAAAAAATGCAAATAATTATTCTCTTCTCTCATGAAAAGTACTCTTAGTGTCAACATTCTCATATATTAAGTAGGAGGAAAAACAGCCCAAGTAACTATAAACACCATAGTACAATTAAATGCTTTAATCTTCTATGGACAGTGTCTTGTTTCACTATTTAAGTGAAGGAATGTCTCCTGGTCATTATAAATCTTGGTCTGTCAGTGATTTCATTAATTGCACATCCCTAGTACTTAATCTTTTGATAGAATTTCATTTACAAACATATTGCCTGGCATCTGTAATCAAAGTGTAACCACATGCACACTCTCCCTTCCTTTACAATAGCTCAGGAAGGCACTGCTGTGGGCACAGATGCTATTTACCTCTCATTATCTGCATTTCACACTAGTTCAGCCATCTCCAAAAATAAAGCAAGAAAACCGGCATGTATCCATTGGAAAACAGTATGTAGGATAAATATTTAAAGGTTCCATGCTGGTTTTCTGCAAACAAACTCTCTTGGTAGCATGTCTCAGAAGTTGGCCTGGCATGATGAAGAAAATAAGGGGAGTACAAACCCTCCAGCATACCCATTCTTTGACTCCAAAAAATCCCCACTGCTTTTATTCCCCTAGATGAGATCTCCACAGTCACATGGAGTAGTTTCTGGTAAGAGCATATCTTTTTGTGAAGCCTGTAGGAACTCTGAACCCCAGACTAACGTTATCTTAGAGCTTGTTCCTGTGCAATCCTCCCTGAACGCAGATGAGAACTGCTCTGCAAGAGTGGGCAGAGGAAGGCAAGTGAAGGATAAAATTGAACCTTCACTCTCTTTCTATGGTGGGCGAGAGGAAACAGCAAATCCTGATATTCCAATGAGAATGAGACTCGATGGATGACACATTCTTCAAGCTCCTGACCTGGAAATACCACATACATAAGAATATACAACACTGAGCCACCTCATTCCCAAAGACATACTGAATAGCTGCAACACAAGAACATTACCTAATACTCTTACTGCCTAAAACAGAATATTTCTGCAAGTTTGTTTAATTCAGAAAAGATATGCCTGCACAACCTGAAATTTGAAAATAGTTGAAAAATACAGACTACTTCCTGCACTGCAGCCTTTCACTTACAGATAAGCCAGTAAATTAATTCTGACGCTAAATAAAAAATATTCCAAGGTATGCCCAACACCCTAATCAAACACTCTATTTGGAATAACATCTTTGTTTTTTACCCTGGGTGCTGCTGTCTTGGAGGACGTTCCTGTATTCAGTTCTAGCCTGTCCCTGTACTCTACGCACTGTTTGTCTCCAAACATTTTTGACTATACATTATCACTGTTTTCACTGTGTGCTGCCAATACCGCTCTCTTAATTGCCAGGCATGCCATTGCAAAGAACTTACTAATAGTATTCTGTTACATGTATCTGCATAATGTGGTTTAATCAGCTTTTCATGGCTGTTAGTTGATTCTGACATAATTATGTGGTTACAGTTTTCTTTTCATTTATCAGTCCCATTATTACTATTCCACTTTATCCCTCCCACTAAAAGTAAAGCTAAAATAGTGTCCTAACAGTACACCAGAAGCTGCCAGGGTTGCATCTGCATGAGCAGCTCTCCTTGGAGCAGGAGTTCTTGCAGCATGTCCTCTTCCTATGTATTAAAGGAATGCTCTTCTGCCTAAGTGCTTCCTCATGTACAGAGACATGGAGGAAGCTGAGGGCACTCACGGGTGTTTTTAAGTGCATGTTTTACAGATCACCAGCTAGCCTGACTGTAAAATGAAGCATTAGGTGTGCTTTACTGCCAGCCTCTCCTCATAAGCAGAACACAGGGCCCAGCTTGTTTTGCACAGGAACTTGACCTTCTCGTGGGAGTGGGCATCAGCAGGAGCCGAGGTGGTCCCATGGCTGAGGCCCTGGCACTCACCCACTCGCAGTGGTTACACTTGAGTCACAGACTGGAATGAAGCCATTTCAAGAGCTGTATTTACAGCGGAGTCATGAACCCTGCCTTCCCACGGCATTGCATCTTGCAGTTGGCTTCTCTAGCGGCAAGCACCGATCAGAGCTTTTTCTGCTTCTGAAGTGTGCTAAGAGCTCTCCCTCCCATGAAGTCCCCGGCACATGATACAGACTAGGCTTCTCGTTTCCCTCTCAGGGCAAACACAGTTATCCTCTTTAGCTAGCTGCCTCTTGTCATTAAGCTTTTATGAACTTAAGTTCAAGTTTGACTGAACTTGACAAGCAGATTCAAAGTTACTGGAAGAGAGCAGACAGCAACTCTGATGCTTAGAGTGCAGACCTCATTTTCTTAGGAAACCAGGTTAGATGTCAGTCTGTCACCTCATGACTATCTTAGTTTATGTATGATACATCACCCTGAAATCAAAACAATACCAACAGCTCTCATGTATGGAGCAAAACCCGAGCTGTCTCCTTTCTTGTAGAACAACCCCAACAGGTTCAGAAATCAAAAAAATACACTGTTTCAGAAGCACCTTCCAACTGAGCTTATTTTTACTTCTATACTCTGAAGCGAGGAGAGACTGCTCTTTTTCCAATTAATCACAAAGTCTATCATCCTGGAGGCACTGCAGAGAGGGGGCAGCAAGGATGTGATAGTGACAGATTTAGTACAAAGTGGTATGTCATGTAGATAAGCGAACAGACTTTCTCTTCAGTTTGAGAGTTGCTGTTATTATAGGCTTTTTTAAAAAATAGTTTCAGAGGAGAAACATAGGAAAACACATTTATATGGAAAGAAGCAAAATCTCAGTGTTGCTACCCCTGCTTGTAGTCACTGAAACCTGCAGCAAAGCATAATCTGAGGCATCTGTTAAGGTACAAGTCCTTCAGGGCAAGAGCTCTTAAGGAAAGGGAAGTATTTCTTTATCCTGAGTTTTAAAAGCAACTCACACAGTAATGAAAATATCGCTGTAAAACTGAAGATCTCAAGAAATCTAAACCTTAAGAAAACTAAGTAAGATAAATCTGAAATAAAAATAAAGAAGTCACAAATCTGATTACCTCAAAATGGAACTGAAATATTTGGATGTTCCAGTTGCAGAATTGCTTGTGATTGACATTTTCAGGGTATGTGCTGGGAAGAGGAATGCCTTTCTTCACAGAGCATTTTGTGTCTTCTCATGAGCAAATTTCTCTTTGTTAAGAACCTCCATGAGTGTTCTTCTCAAAGAATGGAAACACGGGAGATGGTTTTCCTTATTCTTCCTAATAGAGCAACTATTAGAGGCTACCAAACCACCATTTGTCTTTCTTGTCAATAAAGGCTTTCTTAAACCATCAGAGGACTGAATGGCAAGACTCAAAAAATGGTGGCTTAAACCCACTGTACAATGGTGCTCTAACTTCAGAAATCAATTAAGCCACAAAAAGTAATAAATATAGTCTAGCTAGAAAAATAGCGATTTTTATAAGAGGAGAAATTCCTTGCTAGACTGGACAAAGAGCAGGATTTCACAGAATTTTTACTTATTCTTTTTCCTTGTACATTTGTAGGCATCATACACAAAATGAAAAAAAGCATGGAAAAAGAACCTAAACAATACCAGTTGTGGACCCACAGCACTTTAAGCTCCATAAACTGAGAAACAGTTATAGCAAGACTTTTCAAATACATTTGGATCATGGGTTAGACAGCATGTCCTCATCCTGTACTGTGCAGACTAGACAGTGGTTTTTATATTTACCTTGAGCTACACTCTAAAAGACAACCCCACTGTGTAGGCAAGGTACTATTTGACCTACATAAGAATGGCACAATCTGGTTCACAGCTTGCAATACCTGAACTGTGGCAAGCACAGTGGCAGGCTTTAGAAAACTCCTTTTAAAGTTCTTTCAAATAAAAAGTTTTTAGTAATTGCTGACACTCAAGTTTGGTCCTGAAAATATAAGTAGATCTCCTCGGTCATTAACTGTCATTTGCCTAAAAGCTCTGACCACTAGCAGGTCCTGGGCATCCATTGACTGTGCTACAGAAACTCTGGATTAAATACAGATAGTCGATTGTGCACTAAATTTACTAAGAAGACTTTTTATATACAGGACTGTGTGTGCATCTGCCATTTGTCCATGTTTGAAAATGTATGTGATTATAATTTTAAGCCTGTGATTTTTTTAATGACCGATTTCAACATGAATGACAGCAAAACCAGAATCACAACAGGGTAGAGTAATGGGAGTAAAAAAACCCCACACTATACTAATAGATCAATTACTAAGGCCTAAAAA